CAGAAGCAAGAGTTTATGGTAAGGTTGTTTACGAACCATACGTTGTGTAGCATGTACGTTCAATTGTTATGAGTTAGCGATTGTTATATTGTTGCGTCATGTTACTAGAACTTTCTGAATTTTTCTCGTTGTTTTAATTCAGTATTATTGCATTGGCCTGGCATGACCAAGAGGTTAGGGAGCTCGACTCGCAATCTGCGAGTCGCGGGTTCGAATCTCCATCCCACCAAACATGAACGCCCTTTCAACCGCGGAGGAGTTATTATGTGATGGTCAATCCCACTATTCATTGGTATAAGAGTAGCCCAAGAGTTTCACTACTGAAATAGGGATGGCTAGCACAGATAGCCCTCGTGTAGCTTTGCGCAAAATTCAAAACAAAACAAACAAAACCATTATTGCATCAGAATATCTAGTATTGCGTGGAATGGTTTAGACTTCTGTCGGGCTACAAATACGCGTCGAAAGACTATTATTTAGAGCTAAACTGCTTGATTGTGAGTTTATCAATATAGAGCGTATAGGGGCGATTTTTAAAGTGAGATTATCACCAACTGTATTATAATAACAGAGCAGATAAGAATAATTCATCTTGTCAATTGTGTTGCATAGTAATAGGACCAGCTTGTGTGGACCTTGACGAAAAAGAGACAATTATTTAAAGCTCTGGATACAATTTTGATAACCAGCAGTGTAACGAAAATTTGTATATACGTTTGACTTGTTTTAGTATGTTATTTTAATCAAATGGGCTATGTTACTGTTTTTTATTGTTGAAATTTATCGGCAACAAGTCATGGACACTTACTGTAAAAAATCAGGCCTATAAAACCTGATAGTTGGAATACGGCTTCAGGATTTCAATTACAAAGTGTCAACAGAAGCCATTGCTTACGATTATTTCAAGCCACAAAATGCTTATGCTTCATCAGAATAATGTAGACTATGTAGAAAACGTTAAATAACATAAGCAGCTGCGCTATAACTATATAAGCATAATTTTTTACATCACAAAAATATGGGTTTTAGGCGAACCCCCCTGCATGGAAACGTCCCTTGATCGTGTGTGACAAGCACATGAAATAAGGTCAATATTGCTGCACAAGGGGTATTTCCTACCTGTAAGTGTTCCAAACATAAATATCTGGCTGAAAATTGTGGTAAACAACAGTTTACCTTTCTAAGCTAAGTGAGAGAGAGAGAAAACATTGTGTTTTTCCAAGAAGGACAACATGAACGATTTTGTAAAACCAGAATTGGTGATATGTTAGGTGATGTACTTAATATATTATAAATATTTTTAAATGGATATTTTGCTCGTAATCTTGACCACAGCCTATGCTATCATAGATATAAATAACACTAGTTTGGAAGTCACGTGATTTTCGGCATGCGCAAGACTCCCTTTTCTTCTTTTTACGAAGTTATGACCAATTGGTCACTTCTCCTCCAAATGGTCTCTGCAAGGTCTTATAATTAAAGGCTTGAAGTGTAGGAAAAAAACTTTGCTACAATCCTCCAATTTATATTGCAACTTAACTCATGTACATAATCAGTCTCTCATTGTGAAGAAAAAAAATAAAGAATTCCTAATAATACTGTAAATTTATCATCTTGGTGAAACCCAGTTTAAGATATTTCACTAATATTATTATTCTGTAGTCAGAACAAAATATTTTGAATGGAATTCTAACATTCACTTCATTAGAACAGTGGCTCTCAAGATCACTCTGTCATTAAGACCAAATATCATTCCCCATAGTGGTGTTACGTATCTGCTTGTTTGTTAATTTTCAGTATAAATTCTTTCCGAGGAACTTCAGCGATACAAGTCCCTTCTTGATTAACCCAGTTTATTCTTTCTCAATACAAACTTTTAGTACACAGTAATTTCACAATCAGTACGTTTCTCGTCACTTTAAACTTAACTACTTTTATAATACACGCTATAAATCACAGCGATTCACAGCCTCGATAACTTCGCTTTCTACGAGTGCAAAACACTAGCTCGAAACAGAATCGTAAATTACCCGGAACTCTCTTCATTCATTCCCTCAGGCTTTCTCTGCCAGGCTTATATACCAACGAAGGGGGCGTCTCGAATACACTCGGGCCTCCCCGATCATTCGAGAAATTCATCACGTGTCGCCAGCGTCGTGTGACTTCCGCTGTCGTAATAGTGGATTTACCTTTAAATGTCAACGTAACAAAGGCAAGTTACTTACTTATGCAAAACATTTTATTTAACATGTAAGTCATATATTACCAGTGTATCACTAAACATGAGCAGAATAAAGCATGAAAATAATGTTGACATTTGATTTGATATATTTAACTAATGTTGACTTCAGAAAAATATGACAAGTTATGAAATTACAAATCATATAAATTTTCATGTGCAAATAAAGTTGTGAGTTTTAAATAGGTCATTTTTATGGATATATACTTAAATAATTAAAAACAAATGAGACATGCCACTTTTCATTATCATTTCATTAGTCTGGCGTTGTCTAATCTGCATACCATAATATATGTCCAATATTTGCTGTAAGTACCTGGGAGTTTTACTCTACCATGTACATTGTCATGACCAGTACATTTCCCCACCATGGACACTTCAATACAGTTCTAGATGGTAATTTTTCATCTTGTAAGTTTACAATTGTGCAATAATTTCAGTCGACCAGCATTTATAATAACAAATCAAAAGATTAAAATATAAATCTAATTTTTGCTCAATACCTAATTTTTTTTTTCAGAAAAGTGCCATGTGGGGTAATGTATGTCACAGAGTAATTTCACAAACCTTACAAAAATGAGTAAGTAGAGAAATACCAAGGACATAGGCAGGACTTTTCCAACTGAGTACAGTACACTACAGTGGATTAGTTTCAAGAACACTGCAGGAAAATATTTATCTTCAGCATAATCAATAACTTTCACCATTAAATGTACAATTCATAATTATATGCTAACCAAATTTTGTTATTTCATGTGAGAATCACATCTGCAGTACTTTGTTTTCATATGAACATGCAAATACACAATTGGCAATATATCAAACATTTATACATCTAATACACTTAACTGATATTTCACACATACACTACAATTAAATGTAACAAAATAGAAAAGCATGTACATTTATACTATAATAAAACTAGGCTCACTCTGTTATAAGAAGTCTTCAATATATATTACATTTACACTAATGCGTTTTTTGTTCAAGTAACACACAATATTTTGGGCCACTTGTACTGTATACTGATTATTTATCATAGTAACACTGACAGCTCAATGGTTTTGGACTGGAAGGGGCCACTTACAAAAATTTAATCTATCACGTAATTCTGAGATGAGTTTATTAACAGTATTAGGTCTATGTTTGAATTGTTTTTCCTATAAGCCATAACATCACTGATCAGACTACACTTGTCTTATACTATACATATTAACCCAAATTTCCTCTCTGATCATTGAGTGAAGTGATATATTTAATAAACTTCTATCTTGACACTCAGTAATAGGATCAAAAGTGAATGTACACAGAACTTGTATCTGTAGACAGGGTATCATCACTGTATGTTTTGGCGGCGTCTCTGTACAGCCTGACTAAACAGCAAGCGAGATTAAAATGTCATGGATGAATATTTCAACTTATGTAAGTAACAGTCGCTCTATAACAAACGCTCTAATTCTCAAGGAACGTCTCACGTGCTCGTGCTCGACACAACAATACTCAGTTCAATTACACATACA